GCACGGAAGGATTTTTTCAATCCTTACCATGTCTCCTACCATAATCCAAGGAGTTTTTGGCGCGACACTCGCTAGATCCTACATAGTTTACCAGCAACGATTTTACTGACCATTTTGGAGGAAGCCAATTTTCCAAGGATTTGCTCTACCGATTTTTTGCACGGAAGGATTTTTTCAATCCTTACCATGTCTCCTACCATAATCCAAGGAGTTTTTGGCGCGACACTCGCTAGATCCTACATAGTTTACCAGCAACGATTTTACTGACCATTTTGGAGGAAGCCAATTTTCCAAGGATTTGCTCTACCGATTTTTTGGACGGAAGGATTTTTTCAATCCTTACCATGTCTCCTACCATAATCCAAGGAGTTTTTGGCGCGACACTCGCTAGATCCTACATAGTTTACCAGCAACGATTTTACTGACCATTTTGGAGGAAGCCAATTTTCCAAGGATCTGCTCTACCGATTTTTTGCACGGAAGGATTTTTTCAATCCTTACCATGTCTCCTAACATATTCCAAAGAGTTTTTGGCGCGACACTCGCTAGATCCTATACAGTTCACCAGCAACGATTTTACTGACCATTTTGGAAGAAGCCAATTTTCCAAGGATCTGCTCTACCGATTTTTTGCACGGAAGGATTTTTTCAATCCTTACCATGTCTCCTACCATAATCCAAGGAGTTTTTGGCGCGACACTCGCTAGATCCTACATAGTTTACCAGCAACGATTTTACTGACCATTTTGGAGGAAGCCAATTTTCCAAGGATTTGCTCTACCGATTTTTTGCACGGAAGGATTTTTTCAATCCTTACCATGTCTCCTAACATATTCCAAAGAGTTTTTGGCGCGACACTCGCTAGATCCTATACAGTTTACCAGCAACGATTTTACTGACCATTTTGGAGGAAGCCAATTTTCCAAGGATCTGCTCTACCGATTTTTTGCACGGAAGGATTTTTTCAATCCTTACCATGTCTCCTACCATAATCCAAGGAGTTTTTGGCGCGACACTCGCTAGATCCTACATAGTTTACCAGCAACGATTTTACTGACCATTTTGGAGGAAGCCAATTTTCCAAGGATTTGCTCTACCGATTTTTTGCACGGAAGGATTTTTTCAATCCTTACCATGTCTCCTAACATATTCCAAAGAGTTTTTGGCGCGACACTCGCTAGATCCTATACAGTTTACCAGCAACGATTTTACTGACCATTTTGGAGGAAGCCAATTTTCCAAGGATCTGCTCTACCGATTTTTTGCACGGAAGGATTTTTTCAATCCTTACCATGTCTCCTAACATATTCCAAAGAGTTTTTGGCGCGACACTCGCTAGATCCTATACAGTTTACCAGCAACGATTTTACTGACCATTTTGGAGGAAGCCAATTTTCCAAGGATTTGCTCTACCGATTTTTTGCACGGAAGGATTTTTTCAATCCTTACCATGTCTCCTACCATAATCCAAGGAGTTTTTGGCGCGACACTCGCTAGATCCTACATAGTTTACCAGCAACGATTTTACTGACCATTTTGGAGGAAGCCAATTTTCCAAGGATTTGCTCTACCGATTTTTTGCACGGAAGGATTTTTTCAATCCTTACCATGTCTCCTACCATAATCCAAGGAGTTTTTGGCGCGACACTCGCTAGATCCTACATAGTTTACCAGCAACGATTTTACTGACCATTTTGGAGGAAGCCAATTTTCCAAGGATTTGCTCTACCGATTTTTTGCACGGAAGGATTTTTTCAATCCTTACCATGTCTCCTACCATAATCCAAGGAGTTTTTGGCGCGACACTCGCTAGATCCTACATAGTTTACCAGCAACGATTTTACTGACCATTTTGGAGGAAGCCAATTTTCCAAGGATCTGCTCTACCGATTTTTTGCACGGAAGGATTTTTTCAATCCTTACCATGTCTCCTAACATATTCCAAAGAGTTTTTGGCGCGACACTCGCTAGATCCTATACAGTTCACCAGCAACGATTTTACTGACCATTTTGGAAGAAGCCAATTTTCCAAGGATCTGCTCTACCGATTTTTTGCACGGAAGGATTTTTTCACTCCTTACCATGTCTCCTAACATATTCCAAAGAGTTTTTGGCGCGACACTCGCTAGATCCTATACAGTTCACCAGCAACGATTACAGTTCACCAGCAACGATTTTTAGAGGAATCTAATTTTACAAGGAACTATAGTTCCAAGACTATATATAATCTCGATTCCATTTTGTGTTTCCCATCTCTTTCCATTGAGTTTTCCATGGTATTTTTTATTAGCTAAGCAATTTATTTTCCCCTGTGGTGTTGCCACTTAATTCCCAAAATTTTCTCTGCCGTTGCTATCTTTCGTTGCTAACTGGACGGACGTCAAACCAAGCCGTAAAATTTAGTTTTTTACCGGCATTTTTCTTCACAATTTTTTTTGCTAAGCTAGGAATTGCTTTTTAAAAGTCAACTATTTTTAAGTTTGTTAAATCTTTAATAATTAATTATCTATAATAAAAACAACAAAATGGTATCACTACAAGATATGACCACATTACATTCACCGGTTACGCAGCCAGTGTGTGAAAAAACTGGACGTCTGTGTGTTTTGCCACAACGTGAAATACAAGGAAATTCCTATGTGGTAATTTTATTTTATTTGGATAATAATTTTTAAAAAATAAGATTTTATCTACGAACATGGTTTAGCTCGAGTATTATCCCGAAATAAACTTAAGTTGTGATGCCTTCAATAGCACATCTATAGCTGGTTCTTCTTTGTCTAATAAATGTATTGATTCTTGGCGCAATGTCATGGTGCCCGTCAACGAAGGCGTATTGAAGCGTATAATACGCACTTTTTTTGAAAGTGGTTTCACTGAGGCCCTTAATGAAGCCCGAGATAATCAAACGGCCAATTGTAATCCTATGATTTCATCAACGGCTGAATTTACTTTTCGTGCTATAGATTTTCTAAAGCGCTTAAAATCAAGAGTATTTCCTCATATGAAAGAACAAGGTATCGCCAGTATAGCCAAACATTCGGAAACTAGGTAATGTTTAACAATTCTTATCAACTAAGTTTTCTGAAGTATTCTTATTTTTTTCCAGAGATTGGATAAGATCGTATGTTAGATGTATTGTCTGGCATCCAAACTGTTTTAAAATTGCTGTTGCTGGTCTGGATGATATTGTTCGTATTTATACAGATGAACCGGCTATTGTGCCTGTGTTAAAGGTAAGTGATAGATTTATTCTTTGGCTGTTAGGTTAAATTTGTACGTTATCGCGAATTGAAAGTTTCAAATTTTTTATCACAATGTATATAAAAAACATTTCAAATAATTCGGGAATTCTTTTTATAAAAACATTTTGCATTATTTCAGATACTTCGCAATTATCTATAGAAAAAAGTTAATCTGCTTCTGCAAAAAGTTGCCCAGATTCTGAGTAATTTTATATAGAAAAGATCTGCAGATTCTAAGTAATTTTTATACAAAATTTTATATAGTTTAAGATTTTATATGTTTAGAAATATATTTGATAATTTGCAAGACCGTTAATTGTGGCCCTACTTAAGATTTCAGTTTTAGAAAAATTCCTTTAATTTTGTGTTTATTTTAACAAAAAATATTTCCTTTGAATGCAAGTATGTAACTGCATTTGCAGAAATATAATTCATTATCTTAATTTTTTTTCTCGTAACACAAAATAAACACAGAGTGCTTCACAAAAATGGATAACATCGATGGCTTGGCGTCCCTACAGTTCTGGAGAATTAGCTGTAGGTTGTCAACGTGGTATTTGTCTCTGGACCATGGATAATAATATGAACATTACCCGGTCCACTTCACAGGCGGTGTTTTTAAAAAAGTACGTAATTTAATAAAAAAAATAGAAAAAATTCTTATTAAACTTTCACTTTCTCTTAAGTCCCAATCATTGTCCCATTACTTCAGTACAATGGAATTCGGATGGTACTCTTTTGGCTTCAGCATCTATTGGCGATACCGATGTTCTCATATGGAATGTTGATAAAATGCAAAATACCGCACTAAAGAGAGTCGGACCACCTTGTTCGCTTTTGAAATGGTCACCCGATGGTTCCTGTTTATTTTCCTCAACTGTGGGAAATGTATTTCGTGTTTGGTCTTGTGACAAAAAGTGGCAACCAGAAAGATGGACCATAACCACAGGTACCATACAATCGGCCTGTTGGTCTCCCTGTGGCGGTTTTCTATTGTTCGTTACTTCCGAGGAGCCCATCTTATATCGTTTGCAATTTTTCGAAGAACAATTATTTCAAAGTAAGTGTCGTTGTGTTTTTTTTAATTAAGGCAGTAGAAATTTATTTTAACTAGTTTTAAATTATAACTAGTCGAATAATTTCTTTAAAAAAGAAAACTGCCCATAATAAATATAATGTATAACAGGGCAAGCTACAGGTGAATTTTAGCTGGAATACCGCTAATATTTGTATAATGCTGCCTACATTTTCTCTAAATCTAGTCAAGTCGTTTAGAGTTTGTTTCACTTAAAACTTTGCTTACAGCTGGTTCTGCTCCTAAGCAGGCTTTACCGGTGGCTGATTTAACCAAAATAACGGTAGGTCAACGAGAAGTTGGTGGTCAACCTCAGTCTGTGGCCTGGGATCCAAATGGTCTTTATTTGGCCATTACCTTCAAAGACTCACCCTGCATTGCCATATTCTCTACTTGTATACAAAAATTCAATTTGAGCATGTCACCCTCTTGTTTTTTAACTGGCATTGGAAATGAGTATCCCTCGTTCATTTGTTTCCAAAGTAAAAATCGCAAAAATTCTGATTCTGTTTTAACCATAGGCTGGTCCAGTGGCCGCATACAATATTTCCCTTTTGTTAATATGTAAAATTGTTTCCCCTTTTTTAATAAAATTAATCTGTAACTGTAAGAAATAGTGATAAACACTTTGTAATTCAAAAATAAAATTTTTGATTTGTTTTATATATTTATAACAAATATGTGTTTTTATTTATTTATTTGAAACAATAATAACATCTTTTTTATAAGTTTTATAAATATTTGATATTTAAGCAAAGTTAATAAAAGTTCAGAGGGAAAAAGGGGCACTGTGTGGTTTTTGTTTTCGCTTTCAAATATTTGAAAAAAATCACAAATTACATTTGTTTAAAATGTTTTTAAGTAAGAATTTTAATAAATAATATTAAATAGTATAATAATGTGTATATAGTTTTCTAATTAAGTGCTTAACATAAAATACAATAAAGATAACAAAAATAATTGAGGAGAAAAAAGGGAAACATCACATAGATAACCACATCATTTTTGAAATTCATTGCAATTCTTTTCTTAGTCTATATTCATTCAATTTTGGCATATTTCTAGTCCATTAAATAACAAATCGGAAAACACTTTCTTTGTTTGTTTTATTTTCTTCACTTTAAATATCTCCAAAGAAATAACCTAAAGCTGTAGCCGCTTTAACACGCACAAAATGATTTTCGTCCTTAAGCAATACGGCAATTTTATTGCCCACAGCTTCGGTTTGTGTATTACGTTCAGTTAGGAAGTTATTTAGAATGCCTGTAATAAAAAAAGAGATTGTTTTTTTTAATTTATATAGGATTATGTCATGATTTATTTAGCTACAAATTTTGTGAAAATTCGTTATTTTACAGAATTTTAGTAAAAATTTCAAATTTTTTATAAATTTTCGAAAAATGTATATTAAACTTTTTAACAAAAAAGTATTTGATTTCAATTTAAATGATTTGAATACTTGGAATATAGTAAATTTCTACACTCACCAATAACAATAGCAGCACTTCCTCTAACTTCTGGCCATTGGCTGCGTAATTTCGGTATGCAAGAATCTATAAAATCTTGAATGTGATCGGTTAATTCCATGGCCTAAAAACGACAAAAAATAAATTAAAAAAAAGATTGCAATCTCTCGAAAAAAAAACTTACAATAACTTTAACAAAATCCACTATAAAATTATTATAGTTCAATTGACCATGATCTAATAAATGACGCTGAGCCATATCATTGATTTTAAGAGAGTGTAATAAACTGCAAACTTTACGTAATGTGCCTTTGCAAGCCTGTTTGAAGAAAAATAACATTAAATATGAGAGAAAAAAAAAACAGTAAAAAAGTAAAATGAATAAATACCCTTATAATCGTGGCTTCTCCTTCACTAAGATGCAACAGCAAAGGAAATAGATTAGCAATTAATTGTTCACGCAATGCCTCATTTGTGGAATTAGGTGAAACCGTGCCATCATTCATGGACATTTTCGATTGACACAAATCACCAAAGAGTATAATGGCGGCTTCACGTATTTCCAAAGAATAACTGCCAAAGAAAGGACGTATACGTATGGCCAAAGAAACATGAAAAGATTCAACACGATCACTGGGTAAATTTTGTAAAATACGCGATAAACCACGCATACTTTCCAAAGGTATATTTATTAAGCATTCACTGAAAAAGATAATCATTATAAAATGAATATTCTACATAAATTGTTTAAAAAAATACAACTACACACCTAACGGTATCATCAATACCCTTGAGTAATGCAGTTATAGCAGTCTCATCATATTTCTCTATATCCTCTTCCGTCAATAGACCCACATAACCCATACCCTGAATACTTAAGCCACGAACCACAGCATTTGGATCACTTAAAGCCGAAGTCAAATGATTCATTATAATCGAAGACACCTCACCACATGGTGTGAGAGGTACCATACGGGAGAATAAACCCACCGCTGCTACACGCTGACCATCATACGGAGATGCTACATATTTACTTAATGTGTTTACAACATGTTTCATTTGATTGGAATTGATATCGATCTGATTCGATAGACCAATTGCCATGGGTGTTAGTAGTTCAATGAAATTCTTGAGATCTGTGCTGGAGGCTAAATGAGTGTGTACAGTAAGTACGGTAGAGATTTGTTCCATTTCCAAACTGTCCAAAAATTGTTGGAATGTTTCCAAAATAATTTGACAAGGATTTAATTTAACGGTTTCCTTATTCGGCACAAAACCAAATTTTGTTTTAGTAACTGTTGTAGAGGTGGTTCCCAAAGTGGGTGAATTGCTACGAATGCCCGTATTCATGGGAGCGGCCAAATTTGTATATGATGCCAACGAAGTTAATAGCATGGTAAATAGTTCTGGAAACTTCAATTTCAATTGCTAGTTTAAGAGTTAATAATGAAAAGTTACATATGAATTATACATAATTAAGTTAAATAGATAGTTATAAACAAACCTCCTTTATATCCTTGCAGGGCATCATTTTATGTAAAGCACAAAATATTGCAAACGGTTGTACACTGGCAATTTTTTGTCTATCCACACATGGTTCATTTGGTTCAAATAAACATGAGGAGGAGAGTATTTGTAGGAAGTGTTCAAGTAAAATACCAGTTAAATCACTATCGGTGCATATCAAGTGCCAATACTCTACAATATTTCTGTAATAATTTCATTTTAATTGTAATTTGTTTTGTTAAAATCTCTTAAAATCCCACTTACTCTTCGAAAGGTAATTGCTGTACTAGCATTTCACATGATACCAATTTGGGATGATGTTTGGTCAAAGCTACCAATGCTTTAAGTACTCCGGATTTAGCACGATTTACATCGCAGCCATGAATAGCCTAAAAATTTAATATTTGTATTAATGATTTGCATGTTTTAAATCTTTCAAATTGTTCCAAAAAATTATCATTTACACTTTTACTCACCGCTAAACTGTCTTTAACAAAATCTGGTATGGCATGGAACAACTCGGAACCCTTTTGTTGAATGAAAAATTTCAAAACCACTGAAGCCCCTATAGCTGAACTCTGTTCAGGATCTTTCAGACTATGCAATAAGGTTTTGCTAAAGGAAAGAATAAACAACTCAAATTATAGCTTTTACAAATAACTTAATAAACTTCTTACCAGAATTGCAAATACTGAAAATTCGATATACGTAAAGCAATAATTTTTGCAATCTCGCCAGCAAGATTATAAATTTGTTTTGGGTCATCGGTAATAATTTGTTCCTTAACTACTTCGATTTCTTTGATCCAATCAGTCGAACTATCGGCAATAGTTAGGGTTTCATAAATGCAGGCTATTTCCAAAGTTTTTTGTAAAATATCTACCGATACTTGACGCACTGTACCATTCGAGTCAATGCAACGAGGTACAATTTTACCCAACATTTGTCCCGTTTGATTAAATTTCGAAGGTGCCTCACAGCCAATCTTCATGGACTTGATGTAGACATCCAAGGTATTATTGTAGACATGACTGGCACAGATGCGTACCTCCGAGTTTTTATCTCTTATCCAGGTCTCAAGTATAGAAATGATTAAGTCTAGCGTAGACGGCGAAGGATCCTGTTCGATTATAACTTTAACCAGTTGATTGAGTTCGGGCAGCGATTCATTTAGATATTTGGCTAGAAAACTATTGCGTTCATCTTCCTCCTGGGATTCGAATTTCATTTTTAAATTTTGAGCACAAGAGAAAAAGTTTTTGCAGGCGATTTCAAATATAACACCGCCATCAACAGACTCCGTGGCCTCCTCGCCACCTATGCGTATAAAGTCAGTGCCCAATTTCAAAATGGTGGGCAGTAGTGGTAAATCATCAAAGGGCTGTTCGATGGGTATGCTGAAAACTGCTTCCATTATCTGTTTGCGGTATTTCAATGGAGAAGGCATTTTCTCTTTAGTATTTATCATTTGATTGCAAATACTCAGTAATGTCTTTAATATAGCCGACATAACACATTGATCCTTGGTGTTGGTTAGTTGTAATATCAAAAAATTCAAAATAGTATCATCTAAATTGGCCAAGGATTGTAAAGGATCAGCTTCATCCATTATATGACCAAAAGCTTTTATAACCAATAGATTGGTTTTAAAATTTTCCAATTCCTTGTGTGTATCTTTAATAAAATGTAAATTGGAGAAAAATCCTGTCGAATGTTTGCGTCCACCAATGTGGGCCAATTCCGCCAGTTTCTTTATTACAATACTAAGATGTTTACGCGATATATAGCCCAAAGCTAAAGCACAAGGTACAATCTTATCTTCATACTCTGCATGTTTTGTGTGTTTATCTAGTTTTTCTTGTCTTGCCGAGTTAATAATCAAATCGATTTTAGCACTGACCACTGGATTATCATTAACATAACCTAACGTCAAAGCAATGGCTTTAATCAACATTCCTCTTTCAACATTTAGAGTGGGTATGACAAATTCATTGTGTGGCAATACCATGGGATAAACAATCATTTGTTCTGCCATTTTATTGGCCAATCTTTCGGAAAAATGTTCATCATGTTTACTCAGCAATTCATTGGTTTCCGTGATAAACAAGGTCAATTTATTAAAATACAAACTTTCCTTATTGATGTTTAGCAGTAAATCGGAAATACTTTTTTCCCACAATTTGGCTAGTTCTGGATTCAAATGGGGATAGTAGTACTTGAGGAACGTTAAAATATTAGTGGCTCTTTTAATGCAATGATAATTGCCCAATAAAGCTAAACATCGGGCGAATATTGTTTCCGCTGAGGGCACTACTACTTTACCACTTTTAGCAAAATTAGGAGCCGGTGATCTGACTGCATTCTCCTCTACACCCACAGCACCCTCTCTTTTATCTGTTTCGTCTTCTTCGGGGGCCACTTCAAATTCTATATTGGGTGATTTCGCAAAGAGACTAGCCAAGCATTTAGCCAGGTTGGAGCATATATCAGTGTAGTCCAACAAAACAAAATAGTTTAACAGTTCTCTTTTTAACAATTCATCCATAGTGCCCACCGTGGAAGCCAACATAAATAAGGAGTTCTCACAGGAAAGTACAAAATTGGCATGCTCCTCCAGGGAACCATGTTCCTGGTTGACTTTGGTAAATTTACAACTATAGCGCACTATAAACCAAACAAATTCCTTTTCCTTAACCAGAGACTTTTGGGCTAAAGCCACTATACATTTCAATAAAGTCAATTTCATTTTAATACTCTTCTCACTGGTAATCATTTGCTTTAAGCATTCCATAAAGGATTGTAATTTATTTTCAATATTCACCGTAGATGTATTGAGCAAGTGTGTCAATATCAATAAACTTTTAATGCGTTCTCTTTCGCTATTGTTTCGTAAATGCATTAGTAAGGTATCCATTATTTTGGTGGCATATACTCCCGAAAGTAAATGGAAACATCTTAACACTTCATAGTGACCTTTAACAGTCTGGGGCTTTTCATAATCCGGATAGACGCAAACTAAATCGAAAAGATTTGATATCAATTGTTCAGCCACTAAATCCAACACAGAGGGCTGCAGTGAAATATTCGTTTTCAAAACCGCCGATAAAAATTGTGTTACCGAATTTCTTTCTATCGAACGGCGATATAAACCCAATATTTGTGGTATAAGGCGAGGAGTACGATCTTGTATTTTATCAGCTGGCAATAGTGGAAACATTGAAGAAAGTGCTTGCAAAATTTCAACACAAACTTTTGGTTCTCGCGACTGCAACCATTGATTGAAGAGAACATCGTAGGCTACCGAAATTTCGGTGGAACAATTTAATAAAGCTTCCACTTCAGCGGCAGTAGGTGATATAACTTCATTATTTTCATCTTTTGTAGAAGAGGCAAAGGCAGCATTAGCCGTTGAATGTTCCAGCAAGGCTTCACTAAATCGGCCAATAGCTAAAACAAATATTAAAATAAATTCCTAAATATGTAACTATTTAATTTTATAAAATTTACTAAATTACCATAAGCATGTGCCTGTTTTATATGATCCGGTTTTATGCCATTCATACTGGGTAGTGTTGAGGATAGAATAGGTTTAATAAAGGGCACAACACCGGGTATATTTGTGGAGGCCAGAGTTCCCAAACATTGCATCACCATAAAATGTGCTATAGCACCCTCTTTTGTATGACCCATTAAGGCTTCCATAACCATTTTACAATCATCACCACGACCTATAGCCACCAAAATTGATAGGGCATGATTTTGTATATTCGGAACATGTTCTGTAGAACGTGTCAATTCTTCTAAGGCCAAAGTAATAAGTTTTTTGTGAGCCTCTGAGGGTATTAAAGCTTCTGATTCCACGACTTTTTCAATGGCTCTATAATGAAAGAGTTTATAGATTATCGCAGGCGTATTATAAAAATTATTTACTGTTACTGTAACTTACTTTAAAATAATTGTTATAGTTTGTTCTGTCATTTTGGGATGTTTTTCTTTATATTCTATTAGAATATCTGTAGCTCTTAGGGGATGTGTTTCGAATATTTTTACCAAGGCCGATTGTATGGCCATGCGTACAGTTTCATCTTTATCCGATAAGCCATCGAATAAATTGTGTAAGACACCTGCAAATAAAGAAATATGTTTCTTTATAAATTAAAAAAAAAAAAAACTTCATCTGACAATATCTCAGCAAATACAAGAGATTTTTGATGTCTGTGTTAATAATTTGTTGGCCTACTACGGTGAAAGTCTTTTTATCTTTGAATTTATTAGTTTTTGTATTAATATTTATTAGTAGACCAAAGAACAGTGAATACCCCTAATATTTTTCGTACCGAACTGTAATGAAGTAAATCTTTTTGTAATACAATATTAAAAACTCCGGTTACTGATACCAAATAGCCTTATCAAAGATATAAATTGATCTTTACATTATTTTTAATTTCACAATTTTGTAAATTGCCGAAAGCCAATGAAAAGAATAATAATGATAAATAAAATATAATAATAGACGCTTCATAATACATACATACATACATACATATGTATTTATTTTAGCAGTTAGTTCCAAACATCATTTAAACAGTGTACATCTAATGTTGTCTACCTTGCTAAGGAAACCCTAGTAATACATATTTTAAACATGAATGTCATACGCTTTGTTTGGTTGAGTGGTTTGTTTATCACAACAACAACAACAAGTGTGTTATTGTTTTTAACCTAAATTTTACATGGATTTTGAAATTTCCACAAACAACTATGCTAAAAACCGTGCTACTAGGAGGTGCTGTATACTACCATACAATTCCTATCAATTTAATTCAATATATTAAAAGTAATGAGGAAAATTAAAAAAAAAAGCTTTCATAGAGTAAATAATTTAATTTTAACAAAATGTTTTACCTTTAAAATGCCACTGCACAAAAGTTCTTTTAGAGCACTGCATTGAATACTTTTTATTTTTCGTTATATTATTATTATTATTATGAAATACTTTCTTAATTGAATCCAACAACATATCAGCTTGAATTTTATTTTAACAGTTTCTTCTTTTAACGTGAAAAAAATAAGAAATTTTTCCAACAAGTTTTATGTTTACGAGGCACGCAATTGAATTTTCATATTTTTTATTATTTTTAACAAAATAACTATATATTAAAATAGCTATTTTTTGTAATTTTATTTAAATGTGCAACTGCTGGCAAAGAAGTCTGTACAATTAGTGTGCATATTGCTATTGTTTTGTTAAAAAAAAAATAATAGTACTTTACCGTACGAGAGAGCTCTAGTACGACAGTTCAACGTACATATATTTTGTAGGGTTCTTGTGGTAATTAATACTAAAATCAATTAAAAATGGGTTTATTTTAGAATAAATATAAAACTCTTTAACAATTGAAAAGTCTAATCAGAAACACTGTTATTAGTGGACTAATTATTTATGATCTCTGGCTAATATATGTATAATCTATATTAAAACTATAATAACTTTGCTTTTATTACAATTATTTCTACATAATATTTTAATAAAATACTAACCGGCAACATTTACCTTAAAATAACAACAACCAAAAACCCTACTAGACTAGTCTATAGCAAATCGTTAAAATCGTATTGAATGAGTCATTGCTTATTTGCAATTTTATTTATTTTTTTTTTTTCTTTTTTGATAATTTGTTTATTTTTTTTTTATTATTATTTTGTTTATGCGAGTTATTGTAATGATTTTTGTCTTTTCTTTTTGGTAGGAATATAATATTACTGATTGGAAAATACGAATATGTTTTCTATTAATTACTCATTGTATTTTATTATTGATATTTTACAATAATAATGAAATTACATTGTTTATTATTAAATTAAAATGATAACTGTAACATTTTTCATCTCAAATAACGTGAACATTTTAAGGTTGAATTAAAAATTTTTGTAATAAATTTATTGCAATTATTGACAAACAATTTAATATATTTATATACATATGTAGCAATGAAATACTTTACATAAATATTTTCTATTTTAATGTTTGTCGGAACTTTTTTAATTTATCTAGCAATTGTAATAATTTACAAAGGAAAGACGTAATTTGAATAAACTTAGTCATTGGGACATTTTACATTGGAGTTTTTAAAATTGACACAAAGCAACATTTAACAAAGCATTTTATTATTTTACTTTTATGGCCAATAATTCAAAATACTTGGACACTTTTAGGTCTGACTTAAACAATTTTCTAAGAAGAAAAATTAATTAAATTATAAATTAAAAACTAAATTCTAGCTTCAACTCAAAAATGCAATATCGTGTGTTTGTTGGGTTTTTGAATGGGACACATATCCGGGGAAAACCAAAAATGGCTATAAAGAGAAGAATCTGTAAGCGAAGACACTTTTCGATGTGTAAAAGTTCTTCCGCCCTGTCAAATGCCGGTTATAACGAAATCAAATAATGTGGAAGTACAACTCAAAATTTTTACTATAGCGAAAGTTTTGTAATCATTTACACAAGATTTGGAACGCGAAGATATCTGGGGCTTTCAGAAAACTGTTTTCAGCAAGTATACATACATGGATTCAGATAGCGATCATCGGAACGCTAACGTGAATTATATAAAAACCGATTTTCTGTTGTTATAGAAACTAGTTATAAATTTAAAAAATTCTAATTTGAGGTACTTCAACTACCATTAGCCAAACTTAATTTCAGACCAGTTTTTTAATAAATTTTATGTTTTCTTTATCATCTTAACATTAATTACCATGATGAAAATGAATAATATTTACTCTTGTCCTTTAAGGATTAAATTTTAATGGAAAGAAGTGTTAAAGCATAAAAAATACATTTAAATACCAATACATACTAGCGCTGTGTACTCATCAGGTCTGGATAATTGACATTTTAAAGTGATGCTGAACTAGTACCATGTATTAAGGTATATTTTTTCGGTTTTCAATAATTCAAAAAGTACCAGTTAGAGAACGAAAAAGTACCATAAATTCTTTCCTACAGATTTTCATTTAGTCAGGACTATGAATGTTTATTTTTAAGTTATTATGTTCAATATTATAGAAAATTTAAAAATCCCTTTTGATGAACATATATATACCAAAAAGTCATTTTTACACCGGGCTCTACATGCTTAATACCCATTTTGAAAAAGTACCAGACACATGTCCGCTTATTTTTGAAATGTATGACGATAAGTATTAACTTTTTGTTGTACCTATTTAGTTTAGGACGATATAAGTTCATCGAATTTTCCCGTTTACCCCCATAATATTCGAATTTCTAAAACTGTCGTCGTAGTGGATATATTTGCAGTTCGTTACACACAACGTCACAATTAGAACCACACAGTGTTAAATTTATTCCATTTTACATCCCTGCTTGTATTAAAAGTTGACAAGAATTGAATGTAAAATTAATAAGATAAAAAGTACAACAACTTTTAACAAAAAGTTTAATATCACAGCAAAAATATGTAAATTAAATTATAAAATATTAAAGAATTTTAAAGAGTATAAATCATTGTTTACGCCAACTAATCAAATACCATGAGAAGTTATTTAACATTTCTTATTTAAGAACCCTTTTTAAAAAAGCCAGACATAGGACTAACAAAAAAATCCAAAGCAGGAGACTATTTATTATAAGTATTAAATAGTAAACTACCACAACGAAATGTTGTAACATGTAGAAGGTTGTGGCAGCCAAGGCAGTTTATATAAGTACATAGTTATTTGTTGTTTGATAGGTTAGGTTTATTGTTACGCTTACATAAAATATCCTTTATACATAGTTCGTTTGTAACTTAAACGACAATATGACGCCATTAAAATGTAATGATTTGATTAAAGCACGCAACTATAATTTCTTTGAAAATAAAAACAAAACGCAACAGGTTGAAAAGAAACACTTTTTCTATACTGTATGTGTATTATATATTTAAAAAAATCAATAATAAAAAGCTATTATGCATTTCATACATCAATTCGTGTAGACATGATAAACAACTGTTTTATTAAAACAAAAATATAGTATTGAAAAGTCTGTTTTTTATATATTACAAATGAAGAGGTTATGAAACGGGACAATAGCTGTATTTTAAACATGAATTAGTTGTGATAAGTGCTAGTTAAAAAATGTAACTTTTATTGCTAAATTCTGAAAAGAGGAACTTTATTGAAACGTCCCAATATATGTAAGTATGGTATGATTGGCAATTTTTTAGTAAAGTATTTTAGAAACAGAATTATTAAAGAAGTCTTGTTCAGAACTTAGCTATTGGCAGATTGTTAACATGCTAGTGGCAATCAATCTAGTTTTATTTTGCTAGTCTATCAGACTGATGGACGTGTGTTCTATTCCCACCAGGGACTCTATGACTCATCGCCAATCTGCCTCGGTGAATAAAGTTAGAATTGTAATTGTTGTAGATTCAAAATATCATTAATTGTATAACTTTAATGAAATTTTTATTGTCTGTCATTATAAATAACATCCTTCAACATCATTTCAACAATCTTTCATGTTACCTTTTGAAAATGCATAATAAAGTATTTATCATGTATATTTCATAAACATGTTTTCAATATACCAATCAAAATATTTTCATCAATATTTGCCGTATTAACATGGAATGTCATTGCCTACATCAACCTACATACATACATATACATATACATAGTTAGTCAGTTTGAAAGGAGGATGTATGTTACATCAAATCAATTGGGCCTTTTTTGAACCCACGAACTCTGGTCTAACCGACTAGAAGACATATAAAGAGGATGTTTCATTACTTACTTATCATCGATAGGATTGGAAAGTAGAATAATAAAAAGTTAAACAAATGTTTCTCAGAAAAAAATTGATATAAATTACACATGTAATTGACAGCTTTGGTAAAACAATAGTATAAGGACTAGGGAAACCAAAAATATGCTTTAAAAAAGTGCAGTAAAAAAAAATAAAAATATGCTCTTAAAATTTATAAAACAGGATCTAAAATTTAAAAAGTTTTAGTTACCTTTTTACATTGAAAAGGCCTGAAATAAACAACATTTCGTGTCTGCACTAAATTTTGAAATATGTATGTATATTGGAGTTTAAATGTTATTTTAAACAATTAATTTATTAATGTTCAGTAGGTTTCGATAACCAATAAAATGCCTCGATGTAATGTGTAAAATATACAAAAATATTCGCCAACAAATAGACGCCAAAATTCTTAAGTTCTTCTGATATATATAAACAATATCTTGTCTATGAATTCATACGACGCACCATAAAAGACATGCAATTGCATATTTTGGATTCCCTGATAATGACACACACACCGAAAGGGCAATTTGCTAAAATTGTATAATTAAGTAGACTTTGTACATCATAGATACGCTCTCATTAGAAAAATAAACAAAAAATAATAGAAAAGGTAGACAAGTCTGACTATATATAACCATTTGCCTATAAATGGAGTAATTTTCAGAAACCATTCTTAAAAGAGCTCTATCGTAATATTCCAGGGGCGTTACTCTATAACTCGATTCGAATTTGTATGTTAAATACATTGTGTTAGGAAAGCTTTTTCTTTCAAATCGAAAAACCCAGTAATATACATAGTTTTTATACGTATAAAAGTTGTTCTTATTAAATTATGTTTGTTAGATATTCTTTGGATGTTAGTTTTAGTCGATTTGTATATGAATATTCTTAAATTATTTGACATTCCTTTTGTAATTTTTTCTATAATATAATTTTTCGACCCTATATTATGTTCCGAGTTCTGGAGTGATGAGCAAAACTTGAATAAAACTTGAGCTTTTACTTTACAAACCTATTATTAAACCTACTCATGAAATATTTCAGAGTAGGTAGGTACGATTATTTTTGGCATTACAGACATCACTATCCTCAGAAGAGCTTACTTGTTTTGTAAACAAAAATATCCTAAAAAAATTAACATTAAGTATATTATGTTAACATTGAACAGTGGTAAACATTTTTATATCCTTAATGTAATTTTTTAAAAATAAAAATATTTTAATTAAATCTATTTTCTTTATATAGGTAGCTATAGTATAAAATATTTTGGCATTGGTAGTTTTTGTAAAACTGATGGTCAATGTTAAAAATATGTGTTTAAAAAAAAAGTTCAATTACCTTCTAAAATTGAAGGCTTATCTAGTGTTGAGGTGCCACCTGCACCACCACTGCCGCCTCCCCCTCCTTTATTTGGATGATCCATACGTTTGGTTGAGGAGCGTGTTCTCTTCCACTTCTCCAGTTTTAAAACAAAAAACTTTTTAACTGTAACACTTTTTTTTAATTTGGGGATATTTTTTATAGGCGTTAACTTAATTTCGCAATTTTGCTTTTTGTATAGAAATAAATTATCACTTTTTTCTTTGTCAATGAATTAATTGTACTACTAACGTTTTAAACAAGTCACCACGTAATGCTTTTCTTTTTTTGTTTTGAATTTTTAGCTTATTTTCTTATCACGGCTGCAGAAGTTGCTGTTTAATATTTATAACATTATTGTTATATTTTAAACCTGGCTAAAAATAATTATTTTATTTTTTAGCTTAAATTTTCTTTTTTGTATGCTAATTTTCTTTAAATTTCCGTTTTATTTACTATATACACTCACAAAACAAAGTTCTCTAATCAACTGGTTTTATTTTTATATTGAAAGGAAACGACAAAGAGAGGCTCCCAACAAGATGATATTGTAAGACCAGCTGTTTATTGTTTACTATTCAACTTAATGTCAAACTACCTTTAAAAAAAATTATGTCTTTTAAAAATGTATTCTTTATATTGTCAAAATCCCTACATAAAGAAATTTAAAACAAAAAATCGTCCCCCCTGCTGACACCTAATAATTAAATCTTGGTTCCAACTAAATAATGACTAAACGACAACAAAAGGGGAGTATTATTTTGCCGTAGAGAATTATACATATTTTGCTACGTCGTATTCTTTTTTTATTATTTTACCAAACTTTAATTTTTGCACTTTATGTTAACATTTTAAATCCTCTTTTAATTTAACAAATTATTTTTTTATATTGCATTATAATAACAAAATACTATAACAATTTAATTTTTATGCAATGCACTTTGCAAAAAATAACAACAAATTACGCCGAAGAGAAATGTAAAATTCTTATTGACAGCAGTGGGGCTAAATTAGCTATTTTTAGCATTTAATTATTAGAATTCTAGCGATTTTAAATAAGTTATGTATTCTAGAATGGCTCAAAAATGGAAATTGCTGATGTTGGAACCAAAAATTAACTTACATACATATGTGTCAAATATTTGTTCCCTTACATTAGTATCAAATATAATGGCTTGGATTCTAAGATAAAAAGTTACTTTTTTGAGATTTTTACATATTTTTTTCGTATTTCTTACAATGATTCTTACAAATATACGCAATTGTTGTAATATATAAAAGGTCTTCCAAAGGCGCTTTCAACATCATATCAAACATTTAATAATACCAAGGTAAGTATATAACTTTTAAACCAAAATAGAGATGTTATGAACAATTAAACAAATCGCCGCTATTAACAGCACTGTTTGGTAATGCAGTTTTCAGCTAATTTACAGAGTTGTACCACACGGTACTTAATAAATGTCAGAACACGGCATGATCTTTGGCAAGGCATTAAATTCTTTAAAGTAATTTAAAATTAAATAAAGATTAAAAATATTAATCGATAACTAATAAAATTGTATTTGTATTTTTTAAAAACTTATGCAATTGTAAAAACGTTTATAATCGTTTGCATAAAACGTTTATTTAAAAACAAAATATTTTTCCATCTGGCATCACTGAAACTAATAGTTTTGTTTTTTTTAATCAGTCCTTAATATTTCGTCTTGTAAAACGTTTTAACTAAAAAAATGGAAAATATTCCGCGTACGCATGAGGGTAAGTAAAATTCTTTCCAAGATTAAGTTTGTGCCATTACTGCAGATATTAATTTCATAAATTTATTACAAAATGATAACTTCTCTAACTAAAATTACATATTTTTCCTCAGACATTGAGGCTCAAATTGCCGATATACAATCGAAAAAGAAGGAAGTACAAAAAAGTGCGAGTGAAGGTGTAGGACTATTGGATAGTGGCAACTTTTATGATACTGATTTTTATGATGAAGGTGCAAAAAGCAAAAGTCGCTATGAAGGTTATCACACTTCTATTGCGGCCAATGAAGAAGCTGACGAGGATGAAGATGAGGGCATACCAGTAACACAAAAGCGCACCACATACACAGCACCAAAATCAGTTTTGAATGAAGTGACTCAGGTGAGTTATTGTTTAAGGAATACGTATACCTTAAATGAGAATATGTTAATATTTCAGGGTAAGGAAGATGTTGATCCTCTGGCTGACCGTAGACGTCCGACTATAGCCGATCGTGAGGATGAATATAAACAGAAACGTCGCCGTGTTATTATTTCACCCGAACGTGCTGATCCCTTTGCTGAGGGTGGCAAAACGCCTGATGTCGGTTCCCGTACATACACGGACATTATGAGGGAACAAATGTTAAAGGGAGAAGAGAGTGAGCTAAGGCGTAAAATTATTGAGAAATCTAAGGATGGTACCTTATTGAAAACTGTACCAGATCCACCAAAAGAAGGTGGCCGTAAACGTGGCAGATGGGATCAAACTGTAAGTGACAGTTTTGTGCCCGCAAAAGTAGCAGCCACTCCAAGTAGTGCCGCCACTCCTACATGGGAGGAGGTAAGTAATATGTCTTTATATGTTTGTAAAAAAATATTAAAATATTCACTTGTTGTTTTCCAGAAAACTCCCGCCGATCATCGTTGGGATGAAACACCGGCTCATAAAACGGGGGCTGAAACTCCAGGAGCTACTCCAGGCATAACTACTCGTATTTGGGATGCTACACCAGCTCATGCAATGACACCGGGCCATGAAACCCCTGGACATGAGAAGTCGGTCAGACGTAACCGTTGGGATGAAACACCCAAGACCGAAAGAGAAACTCCTGGTCATAGTGGTTGGGCTGAGACCCCAAAGCCGGACAGAGGAACCAGTGATAATGTGGTCGCTGAGTCTACACCAGGAGCTTCGAAAAGAAGATCTCGTTGGGATGAAACACCATCTAATGCTACACCTTCGGCTATGACACCGAGCATGACGCCAAGCATGACCCCACACGCTACACCCGGACATGTAACACCTATGTTAACACCTGGAGGTTCAACACCCATTGGTGTAAAGGCGATGGCCATGGCTACACCAACTCCTGGTGCCTTAGCTGCCATGACACCTGAACAATTGCAGGCCTATCGTTGGGAAAAAGAAATTGATGAAAGAAATCGTCCCTTCACCGATGAGGAACTTGATCAAATGTTCCCTCCTGGCTATAAGATTTTACCACCACCAGCTGGTTATGTGCCACTACGTACGCCAGGTCGTAAATTAATGGCTACTCCTACCCCCATCGCAGGTACACCTGCCGGCTTCTTTATTCAAGTTGAGGATAAAAATGCCAAGTTTATGGACAATCAACCAAAAGGACAAAATTTACCATTTATGAAACCAGAAGATGCTCAGTACTTTGACAAATTGCTAGTAGATGTTGATGAGGATTCATTGTCACCAGAGGAAATGAAAGAACGTAAAATAATGAAACTTTTACTAACCATCAAGAATGGGTCTCCTCCAATGCGTAAATCGGCCTTACGACAAATTACCGATAAGTCCAGAGAATTTGGTGCCGGTCCTTTGTTCAATCAAATTTTACCACTGCTTATGTCTCCCACATTGGAAGATCAAGAGAGGCATCTTTTGGTTAAAGTCATCGATCGTGTTTTGTATAAATTGGATGATTTAGTAAGACCTTACGTTCACAAGATTCTTGTAGTTATTGAACCTTTGCTCATCGATGAAGATTACTATGCCCGTGTTGAAGGTCGTGAGATTATATCAAATCTTGCCAAGGCAGCTGGTTTGGCAACTATGATCTCTACTATGCGTCCTGATATCGATAACATTGATGAATACGTACGTAACACTACCGCTCGTGCATTTGCTGTTGTCGCCTCGGCTTTGGGTATTCCCTCTTTACTGCCTTTCTTAAAAGCTGTATGCAAATCGAAGAAATCTTGGCAGGCTCGTCACACCGGTATCAAAATTGTACAACAAATTGCGATTCTAATGGGTTGTGCAATTTTGCCTCACCTTAAAGCTCTAGTGGAAATTATTGAACATGGTTTGGTAGATGAACAGCAAAAAGTTCGTACCATTACTGCTTTAGCTATAGCTGCTTTGGCTGAAGCCGCTACTCCTTACGGTATTGAGTCATTCGATTCAGTACTAAAACCCTTGTGGAAAGGTATTCGCACACATCGTGGCAAAGGTTTAGCTGCCTTTTTAAAGGCTATTGGTTATTTGATTCCCCTTATGGACGCTGAATATGCCAACTACTATACACGTGAAGTAATGCTTATTTTGATTCGTGAGTTCCAGTCTCCTGATGAGGAAATGAAGAAAATTGTCTTGAAAGTAGTGAAGCAATGCTGTGCCACCGATGGTGTTGAAGCCCAATATATTAAGGAGGAAATTTTGCCTCATTTCTTTAAATTCTTCTGGAATCATCGTATGGCTTTAGATCGCCGTAATTATCGTCAGTTGGTAGATACTACAGTTGAAATAGCCAACAAAGTGGGAGCCTCAGAAATTATCAATCGCATTGTGGACGATCTCAAGGATGAAAATGAACAATACCGCAAAATGGTCATGGAGACCATAGAAAAGATAATGGGTAATTTGGGTGCAGCCGATATAGATTCTCGTCTTGAGGAGCAACTTATTGATGGTATACTCTATGCTTTCCAAGAACAAACTACTGAGGATGTGGTAATGTTAAACGGTTTCGGTACTATAGTCAATCAATTGGGTAAGAGAGTAAAACCATATTTGCCACAAATTTGCGGCACCATACTTTGGCGTTTAAATAACAAATCAGCTAAAGTGAGACAGCAGGCAGCAGATTTAATTTCCCGCATTGCCATTGTAATGAAGACCTGTCAAGAGGAAAAACTTATGGGACATTTGGGTGTCGTGCTTTATGAATATCTGGGCGAAGAATATCCTGAAGTACTGGGTAGTATTCTGGGTGCCCTTAAGGCAATTGTTAATGTCATTGGTATGACCAAAATGACACCGCCCATCAAAGATCTTCTGCCACGTTTGACACCCATTTGAAAAATCGTCATGAAAAAGTGCAAGAAAATTGTATTGATCTAGTGGGTCGTATTGCGGATAGAGGTCCAGAGTATGTATCAGCCAGAGAATGGATGCGTATTTGTTTGAGCTTTTAGAGTTGTTAAAGGCTCATAAAAAGGCAATTCGTCGTGCCACTGTAAATACATTTGGTTATATAGCCAAGGCCATTGGTCCCCACGATGTGCTCGCCACTTTACTTAACAATCTTAAAGTACAAGAACGTCAAAATCGTGTTTGTACCACCGTTGCTATAGCTATTGTGGCCGAAACTTGTCGTCCTTTTACCGTATTGCCAGCTCTTATGAATGAATATCGTGTGCCAGAATTGAATGTCCAGAACGGTGTGCTTAAATCCCTTTCCTTCCTTTTCGAATACATTGGCGAAATGGGTAAAGATTATATATATGCTGTATGTCCTCTACTAGAAGATGCTCTTATGGATCGTGATTTGGTACATCGTCAACAGCCTGTGCTGCGATCAAACACATGTCTTTGGGTGTTTATGGTTTCGGTTGCGAAGACGCTCTCGTGCATTTGCTGAACTATGTGTGGCCCAACATATTCGAAACGTCCCCTCACTTGGTGCAAGCTTTTATGGATGCTGTTGAAGGTCTGCGTGTTTCTTTGGGCCCTATTAAAATCTTACAATACACCTTACAGGGTTTATTCCATCCTGCTCGCAAAGTACGTGATGTCTACTGGAAAATTTACAATTCTCTCTACATTGGTGGTCAAGA